AGGGCACGTTCTGCATGGAGCACTGGGTGTTATGCACAAACAATGAATCATGGAACACTACATCTAAAACTAATGATGTAATGTATGGGGATAATATAAGATTTAAAAAAAATTTAAAAAAAAGAAAACGCCTAATGATAAATGGTTAGGAAACCTTCCAAAGTCATACATCATCAGTGAGGCAATAGGACTCAAATCCAAATGTCCCAAATGCTATGTAGTAAACACAGATTAAATTTCTCAAAAACACTGACCAGGAAATATTTTAAATATATTAGAAATGGGGGCGCCTGGGTGGCTCAGTTGGTTGAGCGTCTGCCTTCGGCTCGGGTCCTGATCCCGGGGTCCTGGGACTGAGTCCCACATCGGGCTCCCTGCTCAGCAGGGAACCTGCTTCTGCCTCTCTCTCTCTGCCTCCCTCTCCCTCTGCCTGCTTGTGTGCATGCTCTCTTTGTCAAATAAATAAACAAAATCTTTAATAAATATATAAATATATTTAAAAAAAAAGAATTTTTTGCCAAGGTTTTGTGTGTGTACCATTTATTAGACTAGTGAGACAAAGACCCATGAGTTGTTATTGTGAGCTGGGTATAGTTTCCACTGCTTGACATGTATTAAGTCTTTCATTCATAACATTCCAAATATTAGCCTCATTTAACAATGAAGAAATAGAGGCAGAGAGGCTCATTTACCTGTATAAGGTCACACAACTGTTAGATGGTCACACCGGTATCTAAACCTCAGCAGTCTGAGTTCACATTTGTATTCTTAGGCACAATACCCAAGCCCAGATGGTTTCACTGGAGAATTCTACCGAATATTTAAAGAATAATCAGAACTAATTCTTCACAATTTCTTCCTGAAAATAGAAGAGGCCAATATAATCCCAATACCAAAATTAGAAAAAAAAATATGGAGGATAAGATAAAACAAAAATTAAGAAAAAAAAACTAGACTAAAATGAAACATTTGAAGCAATCACAGAAATTTGATTATTTTGTTAGGTTTGACAATGGCTTTGTGGCTTTATAAAATATAGCTAATATTAAAGAGATGCCTATTGAAATAGATAGGTGTGAACTAATATATCAGGGATTTGTTTTAAATTATCTCAGCATTTAAAGTCAAAAGTAAAAGGGGAAAGATTAAGCAAATGTGGTAAAATCCTGGTAACTTGAATTTGAGAGATGAGTATGTGGGGAACCATTATATTTTCTCTTTTTGAGATTTTTAATAATTAAGAATTAAAATCTTGAATTTTGACAACCTGTGGAAATCCTGCTACTTGAGTGAATGACGGCAATGGTTTTAACCTTCTCAAGCCTATTTTCTTATGTTACAATAAGGATTTACCATCACTTGCTTCACTGAGGCTCCAATACACAAGAATGGTGTCCCTGCAGTACTCCCCACCCCCAACCCCCCGTGGATGTTAAGCTTTCTTCATTGGACAGACTTATCCATCTCTGAGACTGGGCAAGGTATATAATGAAGAAAAGACATCTCACTTCCCTGGAATTCTCTGAATGTCTTCTTTTGGAGCAGGAGAAGGCAAATGACAGAAAAGAATCCATAAAACAAGGTCTGCCTGACCCTCCTGACTACTCAGTCTGGGAATAACTTGGTAGGAAGTGTAACATTTAATCAGCTATGACAACTGGCTCCTCCCTACCTGAAACATTTCCTCATACACCCTTTTCCTTGAAGATATCTTCACCTTTCTTCTTACCTGCAAAGACTGCCCCGACCTGAGACCCTTGTCATTCTCACCTCCCTTCTTGTGCTTCTGAATCAAATCCTCCACATTCTTTTTCTTTTCTAAGTCTCCCAAGTGCAGCCACACTACCTAGCCCTGATTACCAAGGACAGGACGTTCCAGAATTACTGATGTGGAAAGAAATCTGAGGAAGGATTTTTATTGGCAGAGTTGTCTGGTTTGACCTTCAAAAGCAAGACTTGTTCATGTCTGCCTGGGACCTGTTGCCCAAAGGGCTCCCAAAACTCATTCTCTGCAGCAAAGATCCTATCCTCTGAAGCCTCATTGTTTCTATAAACATTCACTGCCCAGTCATTACACAATAAAACATGATGTCTGCCTTGGAGTTCCTCAGTCCACTGAGCTTTCAGGCTAGAGAATAAACAGCATTAGCCACATCTAATTTGCTTTTAAGGCCATCTTCTAAATTCTTAACGAGTTGCTGTATTTATCAAATCCAGGACTGTTTGATTTTTTTTTTTTTGATAGATTGCAGTTCTCTGGTGAAATTCTCCATATTTTCATGACCATAATAAAAGTTATTTTAAAATCCATGTTTGATAACTCCAATTTTTGGATCACCATGGGTTAGTTTCAATCACCTTTTTGTTTTGGGGTCATTTAACCTTTATTTTTCCTGAAAAGAATTTAGGTTTTAATGCCAGACACTGCTTATCAATATATGTGGAGCCTCTGTCTGGTATCTTTATCCACAGAGGATTTCTTTTCTTCTGGTAAGCAAGACAAATACCAGGAGGCCATTTTTTATCTCATCAAGATTGTATATCCTAGGGAAACAGTCTTGTGTACTTTTGGAAAACTGCCCCAGTATACACCAAAATCTAAAAGTGATTATTCTTGGATACAACACTGGTTCTAGAAATTTATTCACAAGAACATGAAGATGGATGTCACTGTTCTAGATTTTCATTGAACTGCTTAGAAGATACAAACTGAACGTTCGTCAGTAGGAAACTGGTTAAAATGTGATATGTCTGCATTACTGGAATACCACACAATTAAAATGTTATAGACCAATATTGATAGAAAATGCTTCCAACATATTGAGTGAAGAAAATCAAGTTACAACATAGTATGTATATTATCCTAGTTTTGTAAAACTGAATAGATCTGTATCCATATGCACAGATACCCTAAAAATCTCCAGTATTGTTTATGTGTGTCAGCAGCCTTACATTAGTGCCTTTTCTGAATTATTTGGTTTATCTAAAAATTTCAGGCATTATTTTTTAGAAAAAAAAAATCTAATTTTACACAGGAGAAAAGAAAAAGTTTCTCCAGAACACAGATGCATGATAAAAATGGCAAATGGTAACTCACAGTAACCCTATAAATATTTGCATTTAGATATGGTATATTTAGGAAAATGCCAAACCTCTAGGTTGACTAACAGGGACAAGAAGTTCAGAGGACAACTGCTTTAGAAGTATATAGAAAAGGGGGGTGTGTGCTAGAAGAGTTAATGGAGTGTCAGTTCTTTAAATAAATTTCCTAAGAGTGGGTTGGAAAAAAACGAATGTGAGAACCAACTCAACCAGAAAGGCAGAGGTGAGGAAATCACCAAAGAATTGATCCAGAGCCATTTCAACTGGGCCTGTGTCCTGTCCTACCCATATTCTTTTTAATTATGCACACCAATAAATTCTCCTTTTGTCTCAGCTAGTTTGAGCTGGGTTTTCTATTTCTTACAACTGAAAACATTCTGCTATAAAGAGCCAGGAGATCCAGTAGCCCACGCGAGGATCTGGTAATGACAAAGCACAGGGTTTGTTTTGTTTTGGTTTTTGTTTTTTAAAGATTTTATTTATTTATTTGTCAGAGAGACATAGAGAGAGTGAGCACAAGCAGGGAGAGCAGCAGGCAGAGGGAGAAGCAGGCTCCCCATGGAGCAGGGAGTCTGAAGTGAGACTCGATCCCAGGACTCTGGGATCATGACCTGAGCTGCTGAACCGACTAAGCCACCCAGGCGTCCCAACAAAGTACAGTGTTACGGGCACTGGATTTCTGTTGGTAACATGGAACTTGAATATCCAGTGTCCTGGAAGGTAAGGACCAGAAAAAAAAAAAAAATTGTGGGAAACTTCTCTCTCTCTCTCTCTAATAAATATACACCAAACTGTTCAACCAAGCAAACTTGAAAGCTACTGAAGCAGCTAGGAAGTGTGGGGTGCTATCCAAAATGCTCTGTGCCTTAACAGCTTAGTTCAATGTCCAAAATGCATGCTAAAATGTGTTCCCCTTTTCCACACCCCTTTCTCATGATCTTTTATGGAATTAAAAACAAGTTCCTCTTTTTTTCATTCTGTCTGTTCCTGTCACAAAAGACCCAAAAGAGTAGTGAGGTGTATGCTATACAAACTGATGATGTACAGGGAAAGTCTTAAATGGTAAGATGAAAAGCCAAGCTTATTACGGCTGGAAAAGTAAAGATGTGCAGACAGGAGTCAACTGAAAAAAAAATCTTATGCTCAAATTGCAAGTCGCATGATTTTATGTATTTTTATGAAGTTGTCACTTCCTTCAGTTGTTTTAAAACTTCTAACAAGAATCCTTTTCCTGGGCGCCTGGGTGACTTAGTATGTTAAGCATCTGCCTTCAGCTCAGGTCATGATCCTGGGGTCCTGGGATCGGGCTCTGTGTTGGGCTCCCTGTTTATCCGGGAGTCTGCTTCTCCCTCTGTCCCTCCCCCTGCTGCTCATGCTCTCTCAAATAAATTAATAATAATAATAGTAATAAAGAATCCTTTTCTTGGTACAACTGATTATGACTAACTGGGTCAATTTTTAAGTATTTGTCTTATTTATAGTAGGTTTTCTTCTCCACCAAGTTAGACATTTATACTGTTTGTTAAGCACTGGTTTGAGGTCATGGTCATTCAGCAGTAAACAAACTTCCTGCCCCCATGGAGCTTCTCTTCTAGTGGACATGGATTTGTCATGTCCATCAGTAAACTTTTGCTTATGTCCTGACCTTACTTATCCTTTTTAAGGCCTCTCTCCTGTGTTGATTAGATTGAATGTGAAGGTTCTGACTGAAACTTACTGCACCATTCTCACAGTTTCTGTGTCTTGAGGACTGTGAAATTTTGAGTTCTGCTGGAAACACTGGCTACATTCACACAACAAATAAGTTTCCTCCAGCAGAATTCAGAGGACTATAAAAAAATTCAGCTCACTCCTGAATTATTAAAACACAGTATTTTATGAATAGTCTCTGCTGCGTGGATTTTCTGATGAAAATGAGAAGTCTACATTCTGAAAAACACTTTTATCACACTCATCGTGTGTATTGGATTTATCACCACTATGGACTCTCTGATGAACTTGCAGACGTGAACTTTTACTAAAGCCCTTACCACAGTGAAAACATTTGTAGGGTTTATCTCCCGTATGGACTCTCCAATGGGCTTGAAGATGTGAGGTCTGATTGAAGCTCTTACCACACATGCCACATTTATAGGGTTTCTCTCCTGTGTGGATCCTCTGATGAACATGAAGATATGAGTTCCAGATGAAGCCTTTCCCACATTCTTCACATTTGTAGGGTTTCTCCCCAGTATGGACTCTCTGATGGGCTTGAAGATGGGAGCTCCAACTGAAACCCTTCCCACACATATCACACTTGTAGGGTTTCTCTCCAGTGTGGACTCTCTGGTGGTCTTGAAGATGTGAACTCTGACAAAAGCCCTTACCACATGTCTCACACGTGTATGGCTTCTCTCCTGTGTGGACTCTCTGATGGACCTGAAGATGTGAAATCTGAGTGAAGTACTTACCACATGTGTCACACTTGTATGGTTTTTCTCCTGTGTGGACTCGCTGATGGGCCTGAAGATGGGAATTCCGGCTGAAGTTCTTATCACACACATCACATTTATATGGCTTCTCTCCAGTGTGGATTCTCTGATGGGCTTGAAGATTTGAGGCCTTACTGAAGTCCTTCCCACATACCTCACATTTATATGGTTTCTCTCCAGTGTGAACTCTCTGATGAGGACCAGGATTCTGATTAACTAGCCTGTCACATGCCTCCCATTTGTAGGTTTTATCTCTAGGGTGGGCCCTCTGATGGGCTTGAAGTTGTGATGTCTGATTGAAGTCTTTATCACACATCTCACATTTAGAGGATTTCTCTCCAGTGTCGTCTATACAGCGAACGTTGAGATCTAGGCTATGACTGGAGCTCTTCCCATACATGCCACACCTATACAGATCCCCTCCTAGGTGGAGGGGCTCATGGGTGGGAAGACAGGAGTTGTGACTGAAGCTCTTAGCACATACCTGACATTTGTAGGGCTTTTCTCCTTTGTTGACTCCCTGATGATTTTGCAGGTCTGAGCCCTGACTGAAGATCCCATCACACTTATCATTCCTACCACATTTCTCCCCTGCATGAATACTCTGGCAAATGCAAAACACTGAGCTCTCACCGATGTCCTCCCCACACTCACTATATACGTGGTGCTTCTCTCTTGAGTGGGTTATACTATGTTGGCATGATTTCCTCATGAAGTCTTTTCCACAGTTATTGTGGCTATAAGCCTTCTTGCTTTTGTGTACTTCCTGATCATCACAATGATGTGAGATCCTTGTCATAACACAATGGTCACACTTACACGCTTTATTTTTTACGTCAACTTGCTGACACCTACTCTGATAGTTGTGTGACTCTCTCAGATAGATTTTCTTCCAGAAATCCCCAGTGGTCTTAATTGGAAACTCTTGACTTCTGATTTTATTGGAACTCTCCCCTTGAAGCTTTATTACATAATTTTCATCTTCAGAAACCTGAGGAGATTCTCTTGCCCATATCTGACAGGAGGAATCACCTAGTTTTGGCAAGTTGGACTTCTTGCTTTGCATATTTATCATTGAGTCTTGATTTCTGGCTAATTTACTTGTGAATTGTTCCCATATCTGCCAGCATATAACATCTTCATGTAAAAGGTATCTTAATCCTACTTTTTGAAAAGTCTCTATCTCATTTTGATTCCTGAGGCCTGGAAGGATAAAGAGGATTCAGAGTTGAAAATGTGGACAAGTGAATGTTTGTTCAGAGACAGAAATATTTCACAGGTCAATCACACTACCAGACCTTTTCAACCAGTGAAGACTTCAGCTTGACCTTACCACTGGTTTTTTCATGCCTATGGAAATGAAGAGGTAATGAGTAGACTCCTGCCCACTAAGGGCCAACGAGACTCATTTCCAACTATACCAAGACTAATGTTTACTGAGGTCAAATTAGAAATACAAGGCTACAGAGCAACAAAAAGATGTCCCAGAAAGATTATACAGAGGAGAAACTTTACTTCCTTGTTCATAAAAATAATCACTTAAATAATTCTTGCCTTTTCTGCAGCAGGGGTATAAAAGCTACAAAATCCTATGTATTTGTAAGCCTTAAAATCATGGTACATTACACTACCTGCATATTTGTATAAGACAAGCCAAAAATGGCTAGAAAAGGCTGAATCTGTCTTTTAGTGTTTACAGGTGGATTATCATGTGATGCCAAGAGTTTCCACAGGAAAAAAAAAGAAAGGATATTCTTGAAAAGTGAAAAGAATGTATTTGTAAAAGGAAGTATTTCCTGTCTTGATAATGAATCCATGAGATGGTACCTTTATATTCTTAATCTAGCCAGAAAACACACATTAAACAAGCTAGATTTGAGAGGATTCCCCCTTATTTCAATGAAGTCCTAATATATAATAGTCAACTGATGAACATTGTAACTAGAAAAAAACCTAGAAAATGCAATCCCATGGTGGACACATCCTATGGGAGTAAAAGCCCTATGACCACTGTGGCCACTTAATTTGGCTGTATTTTCTGGTAAACCTGGACAGTTAATTTCATCTTTTAGGTTTTGTGGATTCATATCTGTACAAAAGGTGCTGCGGTGGTCAGCATACAAGATGGTCTCCAGCGGTCCCCCTCCTGGTATCCATGCCCCTATAGAGGTCCCCTCCCACAATGTACCAGGATCAGTCTATGACACCAACAGAATATGGCAGAAGTGATGCTATGTCATTTCCAAGGTTAGATCATAGAAGACATGGTGGCTTCTGCCTTCCACTCTCCACAGCTCTTGGGGAAACCAGGTGCCATGTTCTAAGGACACTCAGGCAGCCCCAGGGAGAGGCCCACTTGGCAAGGAACTGAGACCCCCAAATAGCCAGCAAGGAACTGAGGTATTTTGCCAACAATGTGAATGAGCCCATCTTGGAAGCAGACCCTTCGGCCCCATCAAGCCCTCAGAGGACTGCAGCTCTGGGGGTGCTCCTTGACAGCAACTTCATGAGATCCTGAGCCTGAACCACCCAGAAACTTGCCCCAAGATTCCTGGGCTCACATTAACTGTAAATAAATGTTTTGTGGTTTTAAGCCAATAAGTTTAAGAGTAATTTGTTATATAGCAATAGATAGTTAATACAAGTGCCATAGAACTTCTAATTAGGGTAGACATTAACAATGTTCTGAAATAATCCTTTAATCATGCTAGCTTATTCTGCTCACATGAACTGTCTCCAGGAGGAGCGAAGACAGTGGGATTCACTTAGCACCATTCTCTGTGAGCTTCTGTTTGTAAAGATCATTAAGGGAGAAGAAACCCTTTAGTTTGTGCTTCTGTGCAGTGAAAACAGACCTCAAGAATATTCTTCATAGATGGAGTAGGGCACCTAGATGGATAGACAAAATGCAAAATCCTGGGGTATTCTGATGTTTGCCAAAAGAACTTTTAATAAGGGACATGGGGATAGAATATGCTGTAAGATTTGCTCAGCATTCTGAGGAATATGGGTTACAGAGTAGTATCCATTTGTCAAAACTCATCAAATTGCATTCTTAAGATACGTAAATTTAAATTGTACCTCAGTAAAAAGAACTGTAAGACAAATAAGTCATTTTACACCCTGAAGATTCATGGGGCTGTATGCTTATAATGTGTGCAGTTTTCTGTATCTAAGATATATTTCAATAAAAAATCAGCCCAAAATTAAAAAATAAAAGTACAGATTTGTACATGGAAGCAAAGCAACTGGGAAGCTACCTATTAAGAAGCAAACAGACAATTGTAATAATTGGGATCCTACCTCCCAAGGTTAGGTTTATACATAAAAACAAGGGAGCGAGTCAGATGGAACCAGCATCCAACATGCCTGACTGACTGCATTAAACCTTCATGCAGCAGAAGGATACATGAAAAGAAATAATCGAAGGACCAGGAAGGCCTTCCCCTCACTACTCACATCAGATTAGCAGATAGGTTTTTCTGGTTTTTTGTTTGTTTGATTTGGTTTTGGCTTTTGGTGCTTATCTCCAGTAGGAATGACTATGATTACTGTTATTTTAGGCTGGGTTTACCTGAGGGATACGCAAATTAAAGATAAATGAAGGAAGGAGGGAGCAAAGAAAAGGGGACAATGAAGGGAAGGAAGGGAGGAGAGAGGCAAGGCCAGAGCAGGGAGGACGTAACTCCGTAAAGGGAGGAGGCAGCGCTCACCAAGGGCGAAGCAGAGACCATAGGTTAGGACAAGCCCAGAGGAGTCCTTCTCACTACTGTTCAAATGGCCACCATGAGGACTGCGGGTCGTACCAAGACAGGGGTCACGGAAGGCTGAACAAATGGAATGACATGGGCTGACCTCATGTGTGTGCAGAACAGACCGCCCCATAGGAGCAGGGAGGCAGTGGGAAAGCTGCTGCGATGAGGCAGGGTAATGAATGGTAGGGGCTCGGGCGGGCTGGCCATCAGGGAGGTGGTGAGCACTCAGAGCTGCACGCCTCTCACCTGAACGCCCATCCCCTGGGGTTTGTGTCTCCATCATCCAAAGCTTCTCTTCTCTCCCCAACGGTAATGTTGTATCTAATCTGAAGGGTTCATATCCTATGAAAAAGAAATGGCATGTGTGCAACGTGAATAAATTGAAGGCAAAGATTTTAATTCCAGAATTACAATCTTTACGCTCTTTAAGTAGTATTTTCCCAAATTCTGGCCGTGGCCTGCTGTAATAAAGACCTTTTATGTTGTGATCCAGTACACAAGCACATAGATGTGTTGACCTCATCCTAACCATTACCTACTTCTGTCACATTGCCTTTCCCGCTTTTGCTCACAATCTCTGTTGCACAGTATGCAGTTCCCGACAAGGAGCTACACTATTTCTGACCTATCTCATTCAACAGAATAATGATGTAACTCACCAACTGATTTTAAACCTCACAAGATGTCCGACTGGAATCTGACAAAAAACAGACAAGGTACAGACAAGGTGTCCTACAGGAATGAGGAAACTGAGACCCCTCCCCCAAGTTTGGGGAAGCATTGTAAGAGTCCCCAAGTCTTACACATTTGAAACCAAGACATTCCAGGGGGCTGACGTTGAGTCAGAGAGGGCCCCTGTGCTCACCCACAGAGAGTAGGTTCCTGAAATTCTCCAGCATCACGTCCCGGTACAGCTTCCTCTGGGTAGAATCCAGCAGCCTCAGCTCCTCTCTGGTGAAGACCACAGCCACGTCCTTGAATGTCACCGTCTCCTACAATAAGCACAGGCAACCGCAATCTCATAACCAATGGCCAGTAGGGACAAGGCAGCCCTAAGAAGGTGGAGAGGATGGGTGAGAAGCTGTTCTGGATTCTGAGGGCCTTGGATCTACCTAAGTAGTTTCCTCCTCTTCTCCATCCCATGTGTCATTTCCACAGATTTAGCCACAGTCACATCAACAATACAGTAAAAAAATTAAAAACTAATTTAAAATTAAAAATTTCCAATTAAAGTTAAATTTTAAAATTTAATTGAAATTTGAAAACTGAGGGTTGCAGAAGGGAGGGGGTGGGGGATGGGGCAACCGGGTGATGGGCATTAAGGAGGGCACGTGTTGTGATGAGCACTGGGTGTTACACGCAACTAATGAATCATCGAACATTACATCAAAAACTAATGATGTACTATATGTTGGCTAACTGAACATAATTAAAAAAAAGAAAACAACCAATGACAAATAATTCCTGTACATTTAACATGGTGTCATTTGTGAGTATTCCTATAGTCAGTGCCCTAGAACAGTAACTCTGGAATCGTGGGGTATATACATTTTATAATTTGATTGATACGACCAAATCGTCCCAGAGATGTTAGGTCAATTTAGTCCCCAAAGAGTCAAATAATTTTTGTCTTTCCTTTCTGATTCACACAACCACTAAGTCAAGGGACTGTCACTTTGCTACAATCTGACAAACCAACAGGTCACCCTTCCCGGGGAGCTATGCAAAGGACCCTCTGCACTCTGAAGGCACATGCCAACTCTACATGACAGCATTCAAAGTGTCAAAGTGTTCAGTTTTTCATGCTATAATACCTGTTTAAATCCCCAAGCTCTGGCCCTCACAAGCTGTAAGATCTTCAACAGACAAATCCTTAATCATTTTCCTCATCGTGTAATGGCATTCATCTTGCAAGATTCCTAGTTATGTAAATGAATGTACATGATATTTTTATAACTGTACTGTCCAATTCAGTAGCCATGTGACTCACATGGGACTATGTAAGTGTAAATTTTAAATTACATAAAATTAAAAATTCACTCCCTCGGTTGCACTGGCCACATTTCAGGTGCTCCAGAGCCACGTGTGGGTAGTGGCTACCATACTGGACAGTACAATATAGACTACCTCCATCATCAAAGAAGTTCCACTGTACACTGCTTAGAACATATACACTTGCCACAGGGTAGGTCCTCAATGGAAACTAAGTTTTACTAATATAATTATAAGTGATATGGTAACTGTATTACTACACTCGCACGTTGATTTAGTCACCCCTGCTTTCTTTTGATTAATGTTGCGTGGTGTATCTTTTTCCATCCTTTTCCTTTTCAACCTGCTGATACCATTATATTTAAAGTGAGGCTTTTTTTTTTTTTAATTTGAACATCTAGTTTTATAAAGTGATTCATGAATAAGGTAGCATCCCATCTGGCAAGGAGAAGGGAGCCCCCTGAGGTGAGTTCCTTATAGACTGCATATAGTTGGGTCATATTTATT